AGTTTTACACAAGTTACTTTAAGAAGGCCATTTTATTCCTAAGAATCTTGGGAAATTTTTATACTGCCTATAACAAGAGGGCCTTTTTTCCCCCTGTACGTTACTAAATTGCCCTCAAACTGTTTTCCATTCTGAAATCATGTCTCTGCGCACAACCGTTTGTAAAAAGTGTTTTTAGTTTTTAGTTGCCTGAAAAAAATATCAGGGGGGCAACATCCAACAGTCACAATTTATATTTTAAATCCTTAAATAACAGTTCCATTTCATTCAGTAATCAAGTCATGTATTTAAAACTGTGACAATTGAATTTTATTCTGAACATTAATAAGTTATGGGATTAATATATGTGTGAGGTCTAGTTAATATATTCAGTTATTGAAGCTAATGAATGGAACTAATGAAAAGAAATTTAGCACCGTTATTAACAGTCTCTAGGAATTTCCAACCACGACTTCCAACTGGTTTGATGGATAACTGTGAAAGTGGTGCATTACAAAAGATGTAAAGATAATGTCTTCTTAATTTAGATATTAAATGTTAAGCACCAAAATAAAGAGAGGCCAATAAAAAAAATCACATTTTAAAGTGTTATGCAAGGAATCAGCAGTCCCTGTCCCCTTCGTACATAGGCATGTCTCATTAACCTTCCTAGATAACGAGATAGGAAGATAGACAAGAAACACCACAAGTTTTGGAATCACGCAGTCTGAGGTTCAAGTCTTGGCCAGGTCATTTAATTGTTATGTAATCTGGGCAAGTCACTTGACTTTTTTGCCTCTTTGTTTTCAAAAGTGCTAATTTGGGGTAATAGGCCACCTCACCTCATAAATTCAATTGTGAGTAGAAGAGTATAAAACACATAATGGACTGGCACACATTCCACTGTTAAATCCTGGTTTCTTCCCATTTATTGTCCCCAATGAATACAAAGTTATGAAGTGGCTCAGATATAAGCTTTCTTTTATTTCTCATTGAAAAGCAAAACAAAATTGTTTATCTAGGTTATATTGTAACTCTTATATTAACTACTTAATTGCTAAAACCATTCTTTAAGTGTTTTGCAAGCTTTCTTTCACTTAAAAAATGTAAGTGCCTACCAAGTCAAATTCTCATGGAACTCTCAATCAAATAAATGAAAATAGGAATGAACAGCTCCAATCCAAGTAGAAATTCCTGTCTCATCAGGTATGCATATATTCATTCCTAATCCATAATGCCAATTTTCTAAAAAAAGGCTGTATCAATTTGGCTTAACACTCTTACCAGCATATATGAGACTTTCTTTTGCTCTTAATTCCTCACCAATAGTTACTATTGTCAGTGTATAATTTTAGGTATTCTGATTAGTTTGTAGAGTAATGTATGGGAGTTTAGTTTGCAATTCCTTTGATTATTGATAAGGTTGAGAATTTTTCAAATATATATTGGCTTTCTGGATCTCTTTTATGAAATGCTTGTTTCAAGTATCTTGCCCATTTTCTATTGGAATATCTGTCTTTTCCTGATTTGGTTGCAAGTGGTATAGAAATTGATTGAAGGAAAGAAAAAAAATACTGCATTTCCAGTGGTCATTAAGAAAGAAGATGAATTGAATTAGTGAAAAGAACAACTGATAGTGTGACCTTGATTCCATAACGAATTGAAGATGCTGAAGCTTTCCTTAACTGAGGACAAGCCTGAGATGTAGCAAGAGGGGAGGCCCCAAGGAAAGTTAAACATAAGGTCACGATTAGAGAACTGTGGCAGTCCAGCAAGTGGCAAGAGACATCAGTTTGAAGGTGGTTTTCATTTTTCGTCTTTGCAAAAGTGCTATACATTTTTTTT